TTCTAATGATGAACACCCGATACCTTAAAACTCTTTGGAAGTCTTGGTTAGTCTCGAGTCTTGAAAGTCTTCATCGTTGTGATCGAAGGTGTAATAATTTCTCAATTGGTGTGTTTCTTTGTCTACGTGAATTTTTTACAAGTAGCAGTCTTTAATAGAAAAAGATCATTGACATATTCCGGGAAGAATTAATCGAGCAAAGGATTAAAAAAAAAAACTGATAAATTTAGCTTTACATTTTATATTGCACATTACTTACATTACACTTGGAAAATGAGAAAAAGTACTTATGAAATATTGAACATTTACCAGTATACAAGACATAAATGCCTTTCAAGACATAAAAGTATCGAATCCGAGTTTCATTGTTTCGCAAAAAAGTCAGTGACCGAAAATCTTATGAGAAACCGTCGACGAAGACTCGGCCTAATTCAACCACCAGCTATTTTCAACCAGCTTACGCTAGCTTAGGCGTTCAATATGTAAATGAGAAGACGGTGCAGGGAGCGGAAGGCGAGGGGCAAACGCGTGTCCCTGTGTCTCGTAACGATAGATTTCGCCCTCCGCCTCCCTTTTCACGTTCCCTTCACGCCCTTCTCCGTTAAACGCCTAACCGCGACGCGACGTGGCCGCACAGCTACACGGGATTACAACGTGTAAGAGGGTGGCTGCTGCGAAGCCCTCGTGAAAGCTCGACGGGTGATAAATAATCAGATTAATGAAAAATATTTCTTCGCCGCATCCATCCCGCGACCCTTTCTCCGCCAAGCGGGGAAGCCGTCTCGTTCCGATCTACCACCTGATCCTCGAGGGACCGTGTTTACGTTCATGATGCTAAAAGCTTTGTCGTTTCAGCGATACGATTCACGACGATACTTGACACTTCCTTCCGCAGGACGGACACGTCCCTGTCAGGCGAGAAACATTATCGCGGCAAATTTCGAAACGATTTACGAAGTAGGAATTGGCAATGCGTACAACTTATAGCACGTGAAGATTTTTAACAGTTGTCGAACTTGGTGCATAGTGAACATAGGTGATAGTAGAACAAGATTTATCATTCGTGTAGAATTGTTAATGGATTCGTAGGATATCGAGATTTTTAACAATTATTGGATAAATATAACAGTTAAAAATCATTATTTTACTAATAACTTATTAATTTTTGACAGCTGTTGAATAAATATGAAGAATGTAATCGCAACCGTAAAGGGAGTCCAGATAATTCTGCATCAAAACGATTACTAACCTAACCATTTTGTAAAAGAAATATTTCTCAAGATGTCTATCTCTTTCGAATATTATTCTTTTGTAAAAAAAAAAGAAACATAAAAGAACGTTATCAATTTCAGACACTCGAAACGATTTAATCTCATAATACGACGAATCAAAAAGCAATTCGCTTTTCGTCATTCCACGTTATTCCAAATTATTTTCCGTTTTGCCTCCTCCTATCTTCTCGAAATCAACGAAAAATTTAATAACGAGCGCACGATGGCCCAGAAGCTGACAGCTGGCCGAAATTTCCACTCTTAATTCGTTCGACGCGAGAAAAAAAAAAAAAAAAAAAATGAAACAACTGTAGCGCGTTCGGTCGGTGGAAATCGATTCCTCGAAATAGACGTTAGCGATGACCGAAATTCGCGGCGACCGGTCGCGTCCGATGGCCGGCACACGCCACTCGAAAGTTATTCATTGACACGTATTTCCCTCGGTGTCAAAATGCCTATGCCGCGGCCGTCTCTGATAATAGTCCTTGGAACATTCAATTTTGCACGGTGGTGCATTCCAGCGACCACGATCAGATGACAGATTTCGATTCTTTTTTTTTTTTTTTTTTTTTTTTTACCAGCTCCTCTCTCGAGCCTCGCCCTCTCGCTTTGCGTTCAACACGTTTTTGAACGTCGCCGATTTTGAGTACGCGTTCTCGATACGTTCGAACATCGAACAACGACGAAAAGTCAATCCGGACTAGCGAGACGAACGCGACGAGCACTTTTTATCTCTTCACGTCCGACGGATTTACGCGGTTTGCCAATTGATTCCTTCTATCGTGTAATCAGTAGCCACAAACGGATAATTCAAAACGAACGGAACCTTTAATCCTCGTTTGTTTCTCTTTCCCTTTTTTTTTCTTTCCCTTTCTTTTTCATTTTTTAGCCTGTCTATCGGAGAACGAGTTAAGGGGATTTCCTATATGTATCAGACGCATTTACACCGAAACAATGGAGAAGCGTGTTCCCATTTCACTACGAGCAACTGCTTTAACGCGGCAATGCGGTCAATTTCAATCACGCTTAAACTTCGGACGATGTGAGAGTCATTTGAAAGAGAATGAAAGGGGATGACTGTGCAATTACAAGACAAATGTAAACTGTAATTCACCAATAAAAAAATTGTAAAAACATTCGTAAGGCTTTTATATTTATAAACACATCTTCATTTAATAACTTGTATTAAAATAACTTGGAAATTTGATAAACGTCAGCGGACAAGATCTGAAACATAAAGTTCTAGCTCAGAAAAATTGTGCGTTTAAAAGACACAAAGTTCCACTTTTTTTATAAAAAGAAGAAGAAGAAGAAGAAGAAGAAGAACGTTATCAATTTGAGATACTCGAAATGACTCAATCGTATGATACAACGAATTCAGAAAGCAATTCATTTTTCGTCATTCAAACGGAACAGAAAGATTGTTCTAACATTGTTCAAACATGTGTCATCCATGTAAAAGAAAATACTATTCACTTACTTTCTAAACGAAATTTCGAACGCACACGTTTACGTTCTTGTCCTGTTTCTTTTGTCCTTTTTTTTTTTTTCACCTTTGAAACTATTGACGCGAGTGCAAGCGATTTGCATCGGTCGGGCGACGGGTTCGCGCGGTTGCGAGTTCAACAGCATCGCGGAAAAGTGGGGTAAGGGGGAGGGAAGGGAGAAAGTCGTGACAAGTGGTCGGTAGAGTAGCATTCTACGTCCATAGAACGTATCCACGTTGGCAAAGTGTGTTCCAAATTACGCGACAAGCGTTCCACTCGAGAGGATCCGCTTTTTCACCCGCCCGGGGAAGCACGAATCACTTTTAACCTGTTCCCAGAATTTCGTCGGCTGCCACTCGGCTGCCACTTGTCCCGCATATTCCGAACCGTCTTTCCGTCGTAATTGCGCTTCGTCCTCTCCGGAATGCAAGAAATCGAGGCAACAGGCGTCGCCGCGATTATTTTTCCATCGTCTTTTCGCGGATCTCTCCTCACCTCTCCTCTGCCGGTGAGCCCTCCGCGATCCCGGAACAATCTTTGCCCATCGTATCGATCCGATCGTGGTTTCGCATCGTATTGCGTCGCTTGACACAATTAGAAAGTACTCGAGCAGAGGCAACCAGTTATTGGAAACAAACAAGTATCGTGTACAGAACAAAGTCATATCGGATATAAAGCAAAGCGTCCTACACCGAGCGTAGCGGTCTTTATAGCGAATCAATAAAGCGTTCAATTACAGAGGAGGATCGTCTGTCATGTTTTCTTGTAACGTTCTCGCAAAATCCCGCTGTTATCGACCGTCATCGTGCGGCTAAAATAATTTCGTGGCACTTGCATTATTTCGAATTTTTGTCAAAATTCATTGGAAGGTAAAAAAGAAAAAAAATTGCCAAGAAAAATATGAAAACGACTGTACATACGAATAACTATTTTTGTTTTTTTAATAAACTTTGAAAATCATATCTCTGAACACGTTGCGGGGTGGGCCGGAGGGGGGGGGG